CAGAATCATCATCATCATGGTTCAGGAGAAGAAGCTCGTGGACGAAGTGTCCGGTTGGCTCAGGCTATATGATGACGGTTCAGTGGACCGGATATGGACCGGTCCACCCGAATACAAGTTCATGGCTGAAGCGGTTCCTGCTCATGAGCAATTCGTTGACGGCGGCGCGACCCGTGACGTCATCATCGATGGCAAGTCAGGCCGCCGCGTAAGGCTTTATCTTCCAGAGACATCAGCTGCCGCAGACACCGGCAAGCTCCCGGTGCTCCTCCACTTCCACGGCGGTGGGTTCTGCATAAGCGAAGCCGACTGGTTCATGTACTACCATGCGTACACCCAGTTCGCCCGGTCGGCCCGAGTCATCTGTGTCTCCCCTTATCTCCGGCGAGCCCCGGAGCACCGTCTTCCTGCCGCCATGGACGACGGGTTATCGTCGCTTCTATGGCTTCAATCCGTCGCTAAAGGCGACTCCCATGATCCATGGCTCTCTAAACATGCCGACTTCAACCGTGTCTTCCTCATCGGAGACAGCTCTGGCGGCAATGTTGTCCACGAGGTGGCTGCGAGAGCTGGGAATTTAGAGCTAAGCCCGGTGAGGTTGGCCGGCGGGGTGCCGATCCACCCGGGTTTTGTCCGGTCGAAGAGGAGCAGGTCAGAGCTAGAGAAGCCTCAAACACCGTTCTTAACCGTGGACATGTTAGACAAGTTCTTGAGCTTGGCGTTGCCGGCGGGTAGCAACAAGGACCACCCGATAACCTGCCCGATGGGCGAAGGTGCGCCGCCGATGGAGGGGCTGAAACTGCCGCCGATTCTGCTGTGCGTGGCGGAGATGGACTTGATAGTAGACACAGAGATGGAGTATTATGAGGCCATGAAGAAGGCCAACAAAGAAGTGGAGCTATTTGTGAGTTCGGGCATGACCCATAGCTTTTACTTGAACAAAGTTGCGGTGGATTCGGACCCAAATACGGGTCGAAAAACCCGAGATCTAATCGCAAAGGTGAAAGAATTCGTAGATAAGCACTGAAGCTGGTTGGTAATTTGGTATAGTGAAGAGAAGAGCAGCCATATGCTACTTTTCGGTTAGTTATATATTAATGTGAGATAATATTGGTGCGTCTTGGATTCGAGGGTTTAAGCTTTTATAATTAAAATAATAATTAAATGTTGCTATGTGCTGTTTATTTCATTTTACTTTTTTTGTAATCTTTATCAATTATCAGATATGAATAGAAAGAATGTATTTTTGGAGTAGCCTTTTAAGATTTTTTATTTTTTTACCAGCTAGCCTTTTGAGAAAAAGTTTAATTTAAGATCTGTGACCATTGAAATGACTTAAAGTAACTCATAAGATTTGCCATATATAATATAATAAAACGGAAAGCGTAATTATATATTGTAAATCCTTTTTACTCTTTAAATAATAATAATGATAATAATGATAACAAAATAACACTCTTTACTTAAAAGTGTAATGTCTATCAAAAGGAAAATGATATCTATGATATATTATATGCATAAAAGCAAGGTTTTAAAAATGAGGGTAATTGACAGTTTACTAGTCATAGTCAAATTATGGTAAGGCTAATTGTTAATTAATAAATTTAATTTTATATATTAAAATAATATGATTCTAAGTAAAATATATACATTGGATGGTTCTCAAAGACTTGTTAAAAGAAGATTAAATCTAAAACTTAATTTTTTAATATAAAATATATATTAATATTATGAGGTAGAAATATGAATTATATGTTTGCATTGTAAAAAAAAAAAGACATGAGATCACCCAAAAAAAAATCAAAGATAAGAAGAAAATAGAAATAAAACAGAAGGAAATAGAAATCCCACATGTGAGACGAAGACAAGTGAAGAATGAGTTGTGTGTAGAACCCTAAAAGGAACGATGCAGAGTGTAGACGACTGAGGACATTTTATTATGCATAGTATTGCATTTGGTTGTAGTTGCAAAACATGGCAACTACTAGTCAAGAGTTTTAAAAATGAGAAAATTAATAATTTAGGGTGTATGTTTATTTTCTATTTTTAAAAATTTTATTTTCTATTTTAAAAATAATTTTTAAAAATAGAAAAATTTAAAAATTTATTTGAATAGGTACTTTTCATTTAGTTGTTTTTAAAACTGTTTTCATTTTTTATTTTTAAAAATAAAAAAATAAAAAAAACTTTAAGTTATTTTCTTTTTATTTTTTATTTTTAAAATACAATACATTTTATTATTAAAAATTATAATTACTTTGATCAATTTCTATTATTAATTACAATAATTAAATGCCTATAACCATTATTATCAGTTCATTTTTTTAATCTTAAAACTGTTTTTTAATTGATATAACTAAATGAATTTTCATTTTATTTTATTTTAAAAAAAATTTTAAAAATTATATTAAAAAAATATTTTTATAAATAAAAAATGAGAACAGAAACCAAATAGGCCATTTCTATAATTTTGATTGAGTTATAACTCAATATCTAAATTTAGACTTGTTATAACTTAATTTTTTTATGGTTTTAACTCGATTATGCTTGCTTTATAAACTTTAATTCGGTTCAATTTAATCCCTATAATTTTAACTATTCAAATTTTTGATCCTTATATTTTAAAATTAAAATTATTTTAAAATTTAGGATTAATATTTTAAATTACTAAAACATTTAATCTTTATAAAGATTATTAAAATTAAAATTTGAAATTAGTTTTAATCTTTATAATTTAATTTTTTAAAATACAAGAACTGATATTTTAAATAGTTAAAATTATAGGAATTGAGTTATAAGAGTCAAAGTTAAGAAACTATATTATAATAAGTGAAGAATATAAGAACTAAATGATAATTTTATGTTTAAAGATTTTATATTTTATTAGAATTTGGTCCCATTTTTTAAGTTAGAATTAGTCTGGTGCTAGCTGGTTTTGTCGGTCATTGATTAGTTTTAGTCATTGACTGGCAAGTGTTGGGGGTTGTACTGGACTTGAACAGGACCCAGTTTTCGATTAATTAAACCAACCGATTTGATTTAATTTTTAAAATCCTGCATGAGTATATCAATTTCAGTTTTGAATTATTTTAAATAGAATTGAGTTTTTAATATTTAATTTCTTTTAATGCATCTAAAAATTATTGTATATCTTGTTTTCCAAAAAAAAAAAACATGTTTCCCATTCGTTTTACCTAAATTTAGTAAGTGCGAAAGTTAAGTACAACTGTACAAGTCATAATAGCAATAAATAAAGGGATAATTTCTTATAAAACTTATTCAAGGAACATAATTTCTTGGGAGAATCACACTGCAGGCCCTAAAATATCATAAAATATCACTTTGGACTCAACACATTCTGATATTGTATTGTAAGCCCAAGGGCCCTTGTTTCAAATTTTCTTGGGAGCGAAAGTATAATTTTGCCCTTATGTGATTTAAAAACTCAAATTATGTACAACATGACATCCATAAATATACAACACAATATTGACTATATTTATTTACAAGCACAATAGATGTCGATAGATGCACAACACAATATTCATGAATTCTTAAGAAAATATCCATGTGTGTCCACGCATGAATATTTAGTTGAGAATGCATAAATATTATGTTGTACATTTATGGATATTGTATTGTATATTGTGTGTGTCACTTGTATACTTTATTAAACTTACTAATTAACTAGAAACACATGGATATTAGGGCTATACAAAAGCCTCGTAGTTGTCCGGTCCGACCTGTGAAAACTCGATCTTGTCCAGTCCTATAAAATGCTAGTCTTACAGGACCAAAAAGATAGGACTAATTTTTCGGGTAAGACCATACTAAAGACCAAGCATCTGGACTAAGTGGTCTGGTCTGGTTCTACATAATTATTTTAATATAATTAAAATTAATTGATAAATTATTAATTAATAAGTCTTAAAAAAATAGTCTTTAGTCCAGGTCCAGCCTTGCACGCCATGTACTCTGACTGAAAAAAATCCTGAACATTGTTACTCAATTACTCAACAGCAGTAACACAACTACAGCACACTCAGCGTCTCAACTCTCAACTCTCAACCACTCACGCGTGACTCAACCTTGCTCTCATTCTTAGTTTCTTTAGTGCGCCGAAGCCTTGCCGTAGCCCTCCTCCAGTGCACCACGAGCCCACCACCATTATTTACATCGGCGATGTTGCACCATCACTCGCCCTTACTCTCCACCTTTGATCCTCCTTGCTCTCCTCCAGTGAGCCATACAGATCTCAGTACTTAGACTAGTCGACGGCCTCCGCCCTCCCCCTCCACGCCTCGACACAACTACAATTGCAACTCGACCCAGATCTTGTTCTCTACCTTCACGCCTCGACGTGACACGACTGGAAGAAGTAAGATACTTTCTTTGCCTAGCTTTGCCTCAAATTTCCATTTCCATTCTCAGCTTCGCCTTGACCAAATTTGGTGCTGCCTTCGTTGTTCTCCTCATCATCCTCACTCCTCAGATCTGGTGCGTTTCAGCGGTTTCACCATCAGAAATTCATTTTCTTTTTTATTTTTTTATTTTATATCTTCCTTTTAATATGCATTTACAATGATCTAAGTTCCTAGTTACTTGTTTGCTTTATGTTCCTTTGCAATTTTATTTGAAATTTTAAGATCAGCAAATCATTGATTTCACGGCTTCACGCACCATAAAGAAATAATGCATATCTGGTGCTTTTATCTAAGTAATTTCCTTTGCAAGGATCTAAGTAATGATCTGAGCAATAATGCATATCTGGTGATTCCACGGCAATTTTATCTATAACAGATAAAAGCAAGCACTAGATTTTATTTTCAATCCCTCAATTATATATTATTTAGAACATATACAATTTTAACATGTCTGTGGGCTGATGTTTATTACCTCTGTTCTTGCTGATTTTTTTTCCATTTTGCTTCCTTTTTATCATTGTGCTGTTATAACTCATCAATTATATGGTCTCAATTATATTTTATCATTGTAAAGTAATGGATATTGAGCAAATATCCAATATTGATCAACCTCAATCATCTCCTTTTACTGGTGAAAATGTGAGTTCAACTCTTTCTGGACCATCCTTGACACCTACTCCTCCTCCTCAACCCCTAACTACTATGGAATGTCCTCCTTCTCTTACAACTGTAATCGAAAATGAAGCTACAGAAGGTAGTAGAAAGAGGAAAAATTCTGCAAGAAAGGTATCAAAAGTGTGGCAATACTTTACCAAGTTACCATTGGAGGAGACAAATGGAGAAGTTAGAGCTACATGCAAGTACTATAATTTAGATTATGCTTGTGATCCAGGCAAGCATGGTTTAACATCCTTGAAGAGGCATGTACCAAAGTGTCCTAAGAATTCACATAAAGCTACACAAATGACAAAGCAATCTATGTTGAATTATGTGACACCAAGTGGGCAAGAGGGAAGCTTAGTACCTCACATGTTCAATCAAAAATTGATGTTACAGGGCTCTAATTGAGTTCATCATATGTGATGAGATGCCATTCAGGCTTGTTGAGAAGGAAGGCTTTAAAAAGTTTGTGAAGGAGTTAAAACAACGATTTCAAATCCCTTCAAGGACAACAGTGGCTAGAGATGCCTAGCAATTGTATCTTGGTGAAATTAGAATATTAAAAAATTTGTTGAAGAAGTGTACTAATCTTCTTTGTCTCACTACAGATTGCTGGACATCAGTTCAAAACTTTAATTATTTATGTTTGACAGCCCATTTCATTGATAATGATTGGAACTTGCATAAGAGGATTCTCAGTTTTTGCATGGTTGAGAATCATAAGGGTGATATGATAGGCAAGACAATTGAAAGGTGCTTATCAGACTGGGGCATACAAAATGTGTTCACTATAACCATAGATAATACAACTTCCAATGACATAGCATTGTCCTACTTAAAAAGGCGTCTAGAGAATTGGAGGGGTCTTGTTTATAGTGGTAATTATCTTCAACTACGATGCTCTGCACATATTCTTAACCTAGTTGTTAATGATGGTTTGAAGGAGTTGAAAGATTCTTTTGAGTCCATTCGAAATGCTATTAGATATGTTCGTTCATCTCCTGCTCACTTGCAAAGATTTAAAGATGTTTATGAATTAGAAATGTTGGACACAAAAAACATTGTTTGCCTTGATGTCAGTACTAGATGGAATTCTATATATTTAATGTTGAATGTGGCTTTGAAGTTTCAAAAGGCATTTGAAAGATTAGAGGATGAAGATGAAGATTTTGTTAGCTACTTCAACAAAGGTTCAAAGTGTCATGCTCAGAATGACGTTTCTTATTTAGATACTAGCATAGATGCTGATGTTTATAGGCAAAGTGCTAGACCCAATAACAACATGGATGTTTTTGCTTACTCTAGGCAAGCTCCTCCTAAGCGTAATGGCCCTCCAAACAAACAAGCTTGGAATAAAGCACGGTTTTTTCTTAAGTTCTTAAAGGTGTTTTATGATGTCACTTTGCAATTTTCTAGCACATTGAAAGTTACTGCACATACATGCTTCCATCAAATTGCTTTAATTCAAGAGTTGTTAGATGAGAATATTGAAAGTGATGACCCTCTTCTTAGGGAGATGTCTTTGAGCATGAAGAGTAAGTATGATAAGTATTGGGGGGCAGCGGATAATTTGAACCCTTTGTTGATTATTGCTGTAATTCTCGATCCTCGATACAAGCTTGCCTATATCAATCATGTATTTGATAAGCTTTTTCCTACCCCTGACCTTTGCATGTCCATGAAGAACAAGGAAAGAGACACTTTGGATCGCCTGTTTGAGGAATACTCTGTGACAGTTGGTGCTCTTGACACCAATACTTCAAATACAAGTAAAGGTAAAAAAAGACCCTGGTTGTAGATGGTTAGCATCCCAAAAGCAAAAAAGCTCATTAGTTGATACCTAATTAGAGTTGGATAGATACCTTTCTGCTAGTACATTTGAGGACACCACTATTGATGATGATGATGATGATTTCGATATCTTGACATGGTGGAAGGTTAATTCTACCAAGTACAGAGTGCTTTCCTTGATAGCACGAGATGTATTGGCTATACCAGTATCTATAATTACTTCTGAATCAAATTTTGGCACTGGAGGACGTGTTGTTGATGATTATAGGAGTTCTTTATCTCCTAAAGTGACTGAAGCACTCATTTGTGTCCAGAATTGGCTACTTACAGGGCAATCTCTCTTAGAGTTTGTCTCTATATTTCATGAGGTTGACAATTTTCAAGAGACTGATGATGTGGTTAATGTTGCAGGTAATATATTCAATTTTATGTCTCTTAATTTAATTTATATATTGCATTTTTACACTTACTAATCACTTTATATATGTGGATATGATTTTTTTTTATAAATGCTTCAAGTGTTACTGACGCTAAGGAGATAATTATTTGAAGATTTATTGAGTTTCTTTCTGTTGAAGCTAAGGAGATAATTACCTGATAGATGTAATGTAGTGTTGAACTTTGTTGAGTGTTTTTATTGAAATTATATATTTAAATCATTTAGAGTTTGGACTGTAACTGAAATAGTATTTTTTTGATGTTAGAAACTATTGTGGATTTATTATGATTATAAGTGTTTTTATTATCTTAATTGAGTTTATTAAGTTGAAATGCATTATTGCTTATCATAGAGAAAAAAAAAGGCTAAGTGAGTATTGGACTAATAGGACCAGTCTTCCAATCCTATGGACCAAGTCCAGTCCTATTAATCTCTAAGCTTTCACATGACCAGACCGAACTACAGGTTGCCTAATCCATTCCTTTTCATGAAAAGGACCAGACTCTGGGTTAGGCTGAAGTCTAGTCCTATCCTGTCCTTTGTGCAACCTTACTGGATATTTTGTTGTGTATGATATGAGTTTTTAAATTACATAAGGGCAAAATTATACTTTTGCTCCTAAGAAAAATTGTAACAAAGGCCCTTAGGCATGCAGTGCAATAACAGAATCTATTAGACTTCCAACATAATTTTTATCTTTTTTCAGGCTTGCAGTGCGATTCCCCCTAATTTTTTTGCAAACTCCTAGAATGACTTCATTACCCTTAATGAGTAAAAAACCCTTAAAATGTAAGCTCACATGGACTCACATGTAAACAAATGGACTATTTCTTATAAATAATTGATCTTTTTTTTGTTATTTTTGGATCTTATGTTGTTAATTTTTTTCAATTAACTTATAAATTTTTTTCTATTAAAGTATATGTGTAAACCTATACGAACTCTTCAGAATAAATAGAATTCTTGTTGTAAATAACTAATATGTGTCTCGTGTGATGCACGAGGTGTGAAATGATATGTAATAATTTAAATAAATAAATCAATAGATATAACTTAAATTATAAAATTACATTATTGTAAAAAAATCACATTTAAATTAAAGTAATTGATGTTTTTCATTAATAATAATGGGTTAAATACAATAACTATTTTCCCATTGAATGAACTTAAAAATTAAATCAATTTTTATAAAACATATTTAAATTATAAATAATATACATACATTGCACAATTAAATTAGAATTAAGAATTAAAATTAATTTTATAAATTAGATTGGGGTAAAGATTATGTCTTGTTGTCACAATTTTCTTCGCAAAAGCACGATTTGGATTTAAAATGTTATTAAACTATTTTTCATAATAGTTAATAGATCATTATTATTTTTATATTTATCATAGATTATTTATCTAATGCCATGATCCCTCAATTTTTAAAATTAAAAATAAAATTAGTATGATGGGAAGTTACAATAATGGGAGGGTAGGTGAAATAATGGGAGGGGAATGAGGAAACAATATATCAATAAATCATTTTAAAAATAGCATGATAGAAAAAATAAAATATTGGAAGGAGTGGGGTCTGACAATTGTAGAAATAATATAAGGAATTATGATTTTAATATTGTAATATTTGAGAAAAGATAATAAAAAATATAATGTGCCAAATTGAAATTGCAGAGTTTATAAAATGATAAATCATATAAAGGATAATGTAGGATAATGATACCTTCTAATTAGATTATCTATAGAGAGGATCTATAGTTTGAGGTTTGAGCTTTATACTTTTGGCCGGGTATATCTCGAGTTTCGAAAATACTTTGGTCATATGGATCAGACCATAGATAAGCCTATAGTTTTAGTCAGTAGTATAAGGTTGGAAGGAGTAATTAAGGGGGTTATAGGTCTTACATATTATCATATATTGCATATATCTGTCATGAATGATAGCTCGTAACTTGTTATGCTAATAGTGGAATAATAATGATGAAATTATATGGGGTTAATGAGCAAATAGGACCTTGAACTATTGCTTGAAAATCACTTTGGACCCTAAACTCTTAAAATATGCAAAATAAATTCTAAACTTTTAAATTCATAGCAAAATAAACCCTGATCGTTAACTTTTTAACATTGTTATTGTCCACGCAGGTACTGTAATAATCAGGATTAAATTCATAGGAAAATAAATCTTGAACAGTATCTGCATGGGTTATAATGGTGTTAAAAAGTTAACGGTCAGAGTTTATTTTGCTATGAATTTAAAAGTTTAGGGTTTATTTTACATACTTTAAGAGTTCAAAGTTCAGGGCAATTTTTGAACAAGAGTTCAGGTCTTATTTGCTTATTAACCCAATTATATGTCTACCTATAGGGTTATTTTTGCGTGGTTGTTTGCACATAACTACATCAATATTTTTCATAGGTATTTAAACCATAATCAACTTTTACATATAAATAATAGAATAATAGATTTTTATACCTTATGCATTTAAAGAATATAAACAAAAACTTATTCCATATATGCTCACCCAAATTATTTTGATTTGTTACGCTGTGCTAATAATAAATATATAGAAAATTCTTTTTATCTAAATTGTGTTATTCCATATAAAATTTATCATAAAAATATAAAATTTTTATTAATTTTTACACCTTATATAAAATTTTAACATTTATAAATGAAAATTTATATGGCAAATGTTTTTCATCCTACATAAATAAATTTTATTAATTAAATTATAGGTCCCACAATCAATTTTTTTTATCAATGATAATTTCTTTGCATATTTTACACCTATTATTTTTATTAAAAAATCTTATATTCGCTGCCCATTTTTATCATGAATTTTACATGATCTTCCAAAATATAAAAATCTTTAAATTTTTTACACATGGTCTAAATTTTTAACATTTATAAATGTAGGTCCTGCACCTACATCTTTTAATGATAGATCACACATCCACTTTTTTACGGAGTTCCGCAATTATATTTATTTTTTATTTTTTAAAAAAATTATCCATTAACTAATTTTAAAAAATTAATAAATGCAAACACAAAGTACTACGAATCTGTGAATATGCTTATTTTGAGAGATTGTAAAAAGAATCCATGGAAGATCAAAGACAAACTCAAACAAATCATGCTTAGGGGGTATTGAACTCACAAGAGCATTAAAATGGCGTTTCAAGGCACAATAGATCACAAGGTTTTTTCTTTTTTACTTGAGAGTCAAATAGAGGCTTGCAATTCACCATTTTTAATTTTAAATCTCATTTGAACAAAACATCAAATGCCTTATCCACTAGATGAATTTCATATCACCAAGTTTTGAAACTTAAGACTCTCATATTTAGTAGGGACCATTGGCTATAACCTCTAGTACTAGCCGTATCATATTAAATATGTCATAATATTCTCATTATCCTACCCATTTGAATGCCATCAATTTGACTAAAATAATAAGATGCATAATAAAGTAGGAACTAGATGAATTAGGATTTGAATAAAAAAATTTGAACCTACTGTAGTGACTAGGAACTTCAACCCCTTCTTTGCTTTATACTTGAACTCCTTTAGATGTTTCTTGATTGTTCTCCTTTGGCTTTCTCTAACTCTAAATCTGAGTCCCGTTTGGATGCTTCTATCTCAAAATACTCATTCTGCGTTGAACTCTGTGTCTCTCTACTTCTCTCAATCATTCCCTAGAGCTTGCCTCCAACTCTCTCTACCTTGATCTTTTCAGAAAGCTCATTGAATCTCTTTCACTCCCCCCTCCTCCCTTGTGTCGAACTCAAAGGTTCTTATATAGGCAAAGGAGGTTGGATTTTTGAAAGTCATCATGAGTACTCATCGCCTCTGCTTCTCTAATTCCCCAAATTTCAGCATCTTAGACTCATTTTTTGTCTTCTTTATTTGTGTTGCTTACTACAAGTACATGGGCTGTAGCAAGTAATATAATGAAAGTAAAGTATCGTTTCCTCAAGGATTTGTTCAAAAACAATGATCAAACAAAAAATTAAGTAAATTCAATCAAGTTGAGCCATATATAGTTAGGTGAAAATGATTTTACAAATTAAATTAACACTAGATAAAGAAAATTAATTAATTCACAAACTTCAAATACAAATTAGGACCTAGGATTATTTATCCCCCTTGCATTTCTTGACACCAAAATTACCTCCTCTCATAAATGCTGTTAATGAAAATAAGTGCTAATCTAGAGTTCTAAAAATATTTGGACAAGCTCTCTAAAGTCAAGAACAAGTGTTTAGTTAAATTAATTACCAATCTTTTATTACAATTAATAAAACTCAATTGTAAATACCAACTCTAATGTGGCTATACAAGACTAGTAAGTATATCTCTATCTTACTAGCAAAACCATTCATTTAACATGCAAATATCAAGTTCTTGTAAAATTTTTCTCAAGTTCTACACTCAACCTAGCCCTCTCAAGCATCAATTAAGTGAACGCAACATCTAAATGGTGGCCAATTACTTAAAAGCATTAAAGAAAGAGTAAAATAAACATATATATTTAATCATAAAAAAAAGAAGAGGAACATAATGTTAATCCATACAAGTGTTCAAAATAATCCTATCGCAAAGAGTTTAGTTACTCATAAACATCAAAAAGCTACAAATACACAAGATATTCATAGCCATTACAAGATTACAAGAAGAGAAATGGAGAAGAAATAAATGAATTGAAGAAATAGAGCTTCAAATCTCTTCAAAGCTTCAACTCTTTGACCCAACTCATCCAAAGCTCAAACCCTAACACAACAAAGCTCCTAAAGTATCTTCAAGTGTGCAGAATGCCTTTTGGGTCGAGCTCTCTGAATATAAATGTCCTACTCAATCAATTTCAACTTAATAAAACACAGCATTTTCTAACAGTAGTGAAAGTTGTGAACGAAAGCCACGACTTTAGCAGTTTTACATTGTTTTTGCAGTTAACAAAAATTATTCACTTTGTGCTTGATTTCTTCATCCAAAAACCTTCCAGAAACATCCACAAAACTCTAGAAATACTTCTAATCAAGTCTTCAACCAAAATTAGGCTAAAAAAGATATTAAATCAAAGCCAAGAACACAAACCCAAAATAAAATGCACATTTTCCTAATTTGGACAATAAAAACATATACAATTGAGCCAAAATAGATTAGAATCTAAAAAAATGTGATGAAATAATATGAAATTCTAGAGGTTAAACTCTGCATCGCTGACTTCCTACCACTCCAACCGTACATTCTCCTCGCTTGCTTTCTCTCTTAGCTATCTTTGTTTTGCTCTTCCTCTTCCTACTTGCGTGCGCCTCTTCCTTCTACTCTTCCTCTTTCTGCTTCCTTTTAGCCATCTCTAGCTTTTCTCTTTGTGCTAAGGAAAGCGTTTAGGGATATGGTGAAACACTGAATCATCAACATTTCACCCACCCCATTATTTTTTTACTTTTTAATGTTTTTTTATGTTAATTAATTTTAGAAATTAAATTAAGAGAGAAAAAAATATGATTTTGAATTAAAAAAGAATATCTCTTTCTTAAATGAAAAACAACAAGATTTAAGAAAAGAAATTTAAAAATATTAAACTCTCAAAAAATTGATTCTCATGATTTTTGAAGTGTTGAGATAATTTAAAAGAGTTTTTTCAAAGATTTAAGCAAGATTTTTTTTTTGTCATTTTCAAAATTGATTTTGAAGAGAGATTATATTTATTTATCTTCTT